GTATGCCATCTGTGTCCCTTCTCGAGTGAATGTCCAAATATTTTGCTCATTTTAAAAACTGTTGTTTTATTACTATTGAGTTGTGAAGTTTCTTTATATATTTTATATGCAAGTTCTTTATTGTTTACAGATGTTTTATCCAACTCTACAGCCATCGTTTCGCTTTCTTGCTAGTCTTTCCAAGATGAGAAGTTTAAAATTTCGTGACTTCCAATTTATCAAAATGTTCTCTTATTGTTTGTGCTTTTTTCCATACAATGTAATATTTTACTGTGCTATAAAAAGGACTTGTGTACTGATACACGCTGTGATGTGAGTTAATCTTAAAAACATTACACTAACACAATAAGCAAAAGGTTGTGTATCGTATGATTCTGTTCATATGAAAAGTCTTGAAGAGGCAATCTATAGAGGCACAGATTCATGGTGTCTAGAGCTGAGGAGTTGAGAGAAAATGGGTAGTGACAACTAATAGGTATGGGGTTTATTTGTGGGTAATGAAAATTGTGGTGATAATTCCAAAATGTATTATGGTGATGGTTGAACAATCTGTGAATATTGTAAAAACCATTGAATCATACACCTGAAATAGGTGAATGTATATGAAACTGTAGAATAGGCAAGAACAAATCTAAAGCAGATCAGTAGTCATCTGTGGCCAAAGTCAGCAGGATTTCAAAGAGGCAGAAGGAAATCTGGAGTCTGAGGGAAAGCATCGTTTGTGCTTTCTATGTCTAATCTAATAAATCTTGGCCTAACTTAAGGTCATAAAGATTTTCTCCTATATTATCTTTTAGTAACTTTGTAGTTTTACATATTGTATTTAGGTCTATGATCCATTTGGAATTAATTTTTCTGTATGGTGTGAGGTAGGAGTCAATGTTTCATTTTTGCTTATGGATGATGAGATCATCATCATTAATGGAGAAGAGATCATCTTTTCAATAAATCATGATCCAGTTGTTCCAGCATAATTTATTGAAAAGATGATCTCTTCTCCATTGAATCACCTGGCACTTTTGTCAAAAATTAATTGGCCACATATGTGTGGGTCTAATACTAGTCTCTATTTTATTTCATTTACCTATTTGTCATGATTATGGTGACTATTTGGCAAGTTTTGAAAATAGTGGTATGAGTTGTCCAACTTTGTTCTTTTTTTAAATAGTTTTGGCTATTCCAAGTTCTTTTATTTCTACATACATTTTGGAATAAGCCTGTCAATATTTATAAGAAAGTATGCTGTAATTTTTATTAGGATTGCATTAAATCTATAAATAATATGGGGAAAATTAAGTGCTTAATGATATTTAGTCTTCTGATCTATAAACAATATTTTATATTTCTCCATTTATTTAAATTTCTCTCATCAATTTTGTAGTTTTTAGCACATAAATTTTACACATATTTTGTTGGATTGATCTCCAAATGTTTCATATTATCATGCTATTGTAAATGGATTTTTTAAAATTATAATTTCTAATTATTTATTGCTAGTACACAGAAATACAATAACTTTTGAATATTAACTTTTTATCCTGAAATCTTACTAACTTCATATGTTCTAGTCATTTTTTGGTACATTCCGCTGGGATTTTATGTGTAGATGTAAACAATTATGTCATCTGCAAATGAAGACAGTTTTTTTATGTTTCTTTCCACTTTGGGTGCTTTTAGTTTTTTTTTTTCTTGCCATATTGCACTGGTGAGTCTTCCAATACAATGTTAAATAGGAGTGGTACAAGTGGACATTCTTGTCTTGCCCTGATCTTATGGGGAAAGCATCAGTTTCTCATTATTAATAATATTACCTACCACCTTATCAGGTTGAAGAAGTTCTCTTCTCTTCCTGCATTCCTAAGAATATTTATCAAGGATGAATGTTAAATTTTGTCAAATGCTTTTTCTGTATCTATTGAAATTATCATATGATTTTTCTAGTTTAATCTATATGGTGAATTACATAGATTGATTTTTCAAATGGTGAACCAATCTTGCATATCTGGGATAAGCCTCACTTGCTCATGATGTACTAACTGTTCAATAGATCTTAAAATTCAACTGGCTAAAATTTTTTAAGGATTTTTGAATCTATGTTTATGAAGGATATTGGTCTAAATTCTTATACATTAACACATTGATCTGTTATCTGTTTTGGTATCAGGACAATACTGTCCTCATAAAATGAGTTGAGAATGTTCCCATATTCATATTATTTTGTATTGAATGCTGGACATTGTGAATTTCATGTTGCAGAATGCTAATCTTACTGTAGTCTGAAAAAAGTGTTGGACCTTGTTTTAACATGCAGTTAGGTTACTTACAGATCCTCTACTTACAGAGGACTTTCAATCCTCTAGAGTCTTATTAAATTCACTCAAGATGAGTTTAGAGTACCCTTTTCCTTGAACTTGTTGAGGCCTATGACTAAAGCATCACCCTCCTAGGGACACTCCATTCTGACTCACTCCATTCTGACTGGTCAGAACTTGAAGGTCTTCCATGTCTATGTAGATTTGGGGAATTGCTCAGTTTACACCTCCCTGGTCACTCTTTGCTAGGCTTGTGGAGTTTTACCCTAAATATTCATGTCTTAGGATTTGGCAACAGAATCTGGGGAATTCCTATGGAGACTTCCAAAGTCCTTTCTCTGCATAGCTTCCTCGTATCCGATTCTCTGCTCCACAAATCCCAGCTGCCTCAGCCTGATTAAATGCCAATCCATCCCCTCAACGGAGAGAGTACACTGAGCTCTCCTTGGGCCCCTCCTCCTTATGGTGCAGTCTGAATAGTGCCTCCAGGCAGGGGTGATCATAAGGTCCACCTAATTTGTTTCCTTCATCCCAAAAATCACAGTCAACAGCTACCTACTGTCAGTGTCTGAAAATTGTTGGTTCATATATTTTGTCTAATTCTGTAGGTATTTATGGGGGGAGGGTAAGTCCAGTCTTGGCAACCCAGTAATTCAAACATGGCTGGAAATGATGTTGTCTCTTTCCTTATTGTAGTCCTTTCCATCTGCCAGCAGAAGATGCCCTCTCCTCCTAAAACCTGGGCATGATAGAGGGGAAGAAATCTGGGCATGACCAGGAAAAGCCATGCAAACCCTGTTCTCCACACAGCCTCCCTCTTCAACCCCTGACCACTCCTTCCTCCCGACTCAGGGTTCCTTGAAGCCTGTCTTAGTCTGTTTCTATTGCTATAAGGGAACACCTGCATCTGGATCATTTATAACAAAAGGGGTAAATTTGACTCGTGGTTCTGTAGGCCGTATAAGAAGCATGGCACCAGCACCTGCTCCTGGTGAGGCCTCAGGAAGCTTCCATTCATGACAGAAGGCAAAGGGGGGCAGCACCACATGGTGAGAGGAAGCAAGAGAGAGGAGAAGAGCTGGAGGTGCCAGGCTCCTTTCCACTGTCAGTTCTCCTGGGAATTATTGCAGGAAAACCCACTCCTTACTACAAGGATGGCACCAACGCATTCAGGAGGGACCCACCTCCCACCCCATAACCCAAACACATCCCATTAGGTCCCACCTCCAACATTAGGGAGGAAATTTCACCATGAGATTTGAAGGGGAAAAATACCCAAAATTATATCAGAGCCCAAGCCTGGTTTATTCTTTCAAACCTAGAGTATTGAAACCAATAGGTTTGGCCCTTTTGTGGCAAACACTGACCTGGGTGCTCTTGCAAGAATCATTTTTTTCAGTCCTCATGGTATTTCTCTACGTTGTTCTGTGCTGGGCATCGTATAAGCATTTTATGCACATGATTCCATCAAATATCATCGTTCTGTGATAGAGTTACTATGACATGACATAGTTGCTACTCACCCCCATTTTACAGATGAGGAAACTAAGGTGCAGACAGTTTGGTTGACTTGGTTGAGTGCCCAAGGTCCTACAGCTAAGAAGTGCAGGAGAACCTGCTACGATGCCCAGGGATTCCAAGGCCAGGAGCCCTGCTCTCCCCCATAGGCAGCAGCTCATTGGGAACCCGCAGGCCCTACTCTAGAGCTATTCTCCCCCAGCCTGTCTGCTGTCAGCTGCCAGCTTGAGGGTGCCGCTCGGGCAGGGTGGGTGGCTTGGAGAGAAGGCGGGGCAGTCACTGAGGTTCTCTGACCTTGTGACCCCTCTCCACTAGCTGCCACAAGCCCAGGCTGAGCACAAGGCCCCCAAGAAGCCCCCACCCATCTGTAATCCCCTTGTGACCAACTCGGTTAGTTCCACTCTCTGCACTCACACCTCGAGCAGGCCACAGGTCACAGGCCCCATTCTGCCTCTGCCCCTTCTCATCCTGCCCTGGGGCCCAGAGGAGGAGACTTGTGCGGGTCTGAGAACTGCCAGTGCTTATATCTGAAAATTGACTGTGTCCCTGAGGGGAATTCCTAGGACCCTGGGACTCCCTGAGGAGCCAACACCACATTCCAGCCAATATCAACAAAGAAAATAGTCACTGACTCAGGGTAGTGGGTGCACTCAGCTCACCTGTCTGCTCCTGAATGGGGGTCCAATTTCCTAGGGAAACTTATTCTCAGTTTGGGAAAGAGGGAACGTGACACCAAGGGCTGGCCTTCCTACCTCCTTCTCTCCCTGACCTCATACCTGGAACTTCGGGCCCTCCCTGCTCAGTGGGGACCAGGGAGGCAGGACTTCAGGAGGTTAGTGAAGAGCTCGGGCCAGGGTTTCTGTGCTTCCTGTCCAGTGCACCCAGCCCCCAAGGTGCACAGCTCTTGTGTGAAAAACAAAAACGATGCCCCTCATCTGGGTAATGTTTTAAGCTTGCCAGTGTGAAAATAAAAAGAACAGGAGTAGTTACGACTTGCCAAGTCCTGACTGTGAGCCAGGCCTTCACATACTTTACTACTAATCCTCACAGCCTATAGGTTACACATTACAATGCCATTTGGCCATGGAGGAAACTGAGGCATAGAGAGATGAGGTAACTTGGCCAAGGCCCCCAGAGCTGGAAAAGTCCTTCTAGCTCAAGAGTACTTACTTGTATTCCCTGTCTCTGCCATGTAACGAGCAACCTCACCCCTTGTCCAGTTACACACAGGGACCTGTGAGGGAGACAGAGTTGGCATCTGCATGCCCTGTGACAGATGAGGAAACTGAAGCACCTGCCCTTAAGTCCCCCAGCAGGCTGATAGCAGAGCCAAGACAACAGTGTGAGTTTCCTTGGCCCCTGGGGGACCCCTCTGCCCACACATATGTGAATGGGTGGAGTTACATTGTTCCCATGGAAACCTGACAGTCATCACAGAAGCCAAGGGTTTAAAATGAAACTGGTACAGTTTCAGGGCTGGCCTCACACACATCTACTTTAGGAGTCCCTCAATGAGACCCACAACTCATGGGGTGCACAGCACTCTAGAGTTTACAAAGCCCTTTCTCATTTATCATGAAATTCCATCCAACAAGTGGGGCAGGGGTTATTTCACCCATTTCAGAGATAAGGAGCCTGAGGCTCTAGTTAGTGACAGGCAGCCAGATGGTGAACCATCATGAGGCCGGCATATATCTGAGCATCCTTGGTCCAAAAGGTGCTACTTAACTGGAGGAAGGGCCAGGCCTCGGGTGCAGCCGGGCCCTCTGAGTCAGGGCTGAGGCCAGGACCTGAATGGAATGAGATGTGCAGGGAGCCCCAGGAAGCCATGGTTGGGAGGCCACCACCAGGTCTCTCTCCCAGGGCACTAATTGGGGCTGACTGGGTCAAGGGGCCCTGATATCCCACCGGAGCTGGTGTCTAGAGCCAGGCAAGGGGGTGAACAGCCTTTGTCTCCTTTTTTGTTCCTTTGATCTCAGAGCAGAGGCCTGCATGAGGTTGCCCTGGGGGACCTGGAATCTGAGCTAATGAGGTGACTTTCCAACCCAGCCAGACAGCTGGGGTTGCAGCAACATTGGTAGCAAGGGGCAGGTAGCCTGGGACCTTCTCTGAGCCTAACAGCCTGGGTCGCCTGTGGGATACAAGCATCCAACAAGTGCCCTTGTGTGCTGTGAATGAGTACACTGGACAACAGGTGTAAACAGGGACCGTCCAGAACACTGAGAGGCATGGTCATCTCATCTACCATCAGCATCCTCATCTCCATCTAAAAGACAAGCCAAGGATCACAGACACTGCCACTTCCCCAGGGACACAGCTGGGCAGAGGCAAGTCTCAGATCCAAATCAGACCAGATGCCAGTTTTTGCTCCTGTCCCATCGGTGGCAGACCCTCCACCCTCCACTTGCTGTGGTAATAATATCTCTCATTGATCAAGCACTCACCCCAGGCCAGACAGTGTGCTAAGCACTTTACTTTCATTATCTCATTAAATTCTCATAATCAGTCTAAAAAAAAGGGACTATTATCTCGTTTTTAGAGATGAAGAAATGGGGCACGGAAAGGCTAAGCAATTTGCCCAGAGTCACATAGATAGGGATGTGTCAGACAGTCCAAGAGGTCTTAGGTCAGGCCAGCTGGGAAACATGCCAGCTACCAGATGAGGGACAGGTGATGAGACATGGAGATATGCTAATCCTGGAGGACTTTCTAAAGGAGGCGGCCACTGTCTAAAGGAGGGGCTGGTATGGAAGACCACAGCACAGCCTCCCAGCTCGGCCACCTCTCTCCTCCCATCACTCCCAGACCTCCAGAAGCTTGCAGAAGAGTGCACGTTCCAGGTTTGGCATCCAAACCTGGTGGGTCGAGATCCTGTGTTTCTATGGCAACCGTATCCTTAATAGCATCCAATAAGGACATTATTTGGCTGCAGTAAGCATACACGATCTTTTGATTACTGCCGAAGGTATCAAGAGGCAGCCGTCCCCGTCTCCAAGGGCCCCTACCCTTCCTTGGAAAAACAGATGCTACCCTCCCATAAAAGTGGGGGTATAGAAAGAGGGGGAAAGTGCTCACACAAGAGAGGGGGAAATGGGCAAAAAAAAAAAATCAATGTTTGCATTAATGGAGTTGCCCGTTCAGCATTTCTCCTCTTTCATAGATTTAGATAACATGCTCATCAGGGATATCTTTATTTCCCAGAGCAAAGAAATTAATTACTCACTAATGGTGCAATTCAGAAATTAATTTGTGCTACCATCTCAAATATGTCGTTATTAATCAATTGAGAGTGCGGGGCTGGCAGGGGAAAGGTGTTCACTGGGGTCCAAGGCTCTTGGGGCTGACCTATAATATTAGATGGATATTTCCAGAGGCTCAACGTGGGCCACTCAAAACCAGGGGCCAGGGGGTACAGGCCCGAAAGAGGATTCCGAGGATGCCGTGGGAAGAACGTTAGACTGGGAGTTGGACGACTAGAATCTAGGCGTGACTTCGGACAAGTCCCTCTGGGAATCAGTTGTCTCGTCTATACCAAGAAGGGCTGGATTTGAGCGGTGCTTCTCAGACTCCTCTCACTGCAGAGTTTGTTGTATAAGCAGTTTGCAGGATTCCAGCTTGCAACATGCATGGGCAGGAGCAGCAGTGGGGGCCTAGAGCCCCTGGGTTCTGACCTCCCCTTTCTGGTTATGGTCCCCAGGGCTCCACAGAGCACCACTGGGCACTCTTGGGGAGAGGGTGTCAGAGGTTTTGTCATTCAGGGAAGTGTCCTCTGCTTCCTTTCCTCTTCCAAACCGTGTTCAGCTCTGGAAGCACGGCCTGGTACACTGTAAGCAGTCAATACGTGCTTATTGTATGAGTAATGGTTTGACCATAAACCACTAGGATGGGGAGGGCTGGCCAGGCAGGCGGTGCCATGTGAAAATGGGGAGCCGGGTGAGTTTAGCTCATAAGGAGGGGCTGGCAGAGGGTGGCAGGGCCCTCGGGCTGAAGGTCAGATGTGAGTGACGGGTGTCAGGCACCCAGGATGGTGCTGGAACAGGAACACAGTGGCAGGGGCTGCTTGTTGACTCAGCCAGGCATGGCTCTTGGCACTCATGCACAGAGGCCTCAGTTCATCCTCACCACAGTCCCCCAAGTCCTATTGCCACTGTTGCCCATTCCACAAATAAGAGGGTGCCCAGGGCATGCAGCTGGGGTTGAAGAGCCACTTTCAAATCCCAGCATCATGGCTGTGAGGCCCATGCCCTTACCCATGACACACTTCGCCTCCGTGTCATGACCGGTTTGCAATCAGCTATTTCTCTGTGACCCTTCAGAGACTCTGCAGGGCTTAGTCCCTCACCTGGCTTGGCACTGGGAGGCAGGCAGGGTCCACATCACTCTCCCCATTTGACAGATGAGGAAGTGAGGCTCAGAGATCCCAAACCAGCATGCACAGAGAGGAGGCTTCGACCCAGGCCTCCTGGAGTCTGACCTTGTCCTGGCAGGGAAGGGCAGGGCAGGGCAGGGCAAATGGCCTCATGGGATAGACAGTGGGGCCAGCTCACTGGATGCAAATGCCAAATCACCCGAACTGTGTGCAGAACAACCCGTTAGTCCAGTGGTGTTTCACCAAAGCCACAGGGACCCGTGGGGTCTGAGCTTCCCATGGAGCAACTGCATCATTGTAGAGATGGGGAAACTGAGTCCCATTGTGGGGAAGGGCCAACCAAGACTTCCTAGCAAAGGAAGACAGGATTTTCTAGGGTGAGACGCTGGGAAAGAACTTATCCTCTGCAGGATTCATAGCCACTGGGACAGGCGCCTCTCTGCCTTGGTGCCTTAGGGGTGGGTCTTGCTAGACACTGGAGGGCAGGCAGGATGGGCCTCTGGCTCCAGTAAGACCTGAGGATGTGGGATTCATTCAGCATGTGGAAGCAGCAAGTAAGCTGGCCGAGAAATGAAAATCAGAGATGATTTCCCAGGCAATCTCTGGGCCTTGGGAGAAGGAACAAGAAAGAGCTGCAGTGGCTGCGGCTGCAGGAGAAAGAGCCGGGCTCCTCTTAGAAGCCAGTATTCCCTGAGCACCTACTGTGTGTCAGCCATCTTCATCTGCCATTCCCACCCACAGAGGAACAAATGAGGGCCGGAGAGGGCAGGGGCTGGCTCTGAGTCACCCAGTTAGGCACACGGTTGCAGTGCAGAGGATGCAGGAGCAGCGGAGCAGCTGAGAGGCGGGATGGGTTAGAGAAAGAGTGGGGGACTTAACGCCATTTTACTGATGAGAGAATGGAGGCTTACTTGTCCAAGGTCCCACCGGGGCCAGGGGCAGAACTGGGACCAGGACAGCCCTCCTGGCTGCAAAGCCTGTGAGATCCTGCTGCTCCCCCTTCCCTGGGCACAGGGGCCGATGAGAGTGTCCCTGATGGGGCAGATTCTCACTCTTATTTGTGTTGGGTACGAGTGGCGGTGGGCAGTCATCGTCGCCAGGGAAACCACACTGAACACTCTCTCTAACCCATCCCTCCTCTGAGCTGCTCTGCCGCACACACTCTCACACACACTCACACACATATACACTGACACACATACTGTCACACTCTCACGTGCTCACACACACTCACATATACACATACACACATTCTCACTCTGAACACACATACACATACACACTCACACTCACATTCTCATACACATACAGATATTGTCACACACACACACATGCACACTCACACACATTCTCACACACATACACACTCACATTCTTTCTCACACACATTCTCTCACACACTCTTTCACACTCACATACACCAAAAACTCCCTCCAGTAGGGCCAGAGCATAGGATTCTTGGCCCTCATGTACCTTGACCCTGGAAACATGGGACAAACATTTATAGGAAGATATGTTTGGGATCCACATGAAAGAACATTCTAAGAATTAGAATGGTCTCACCATTAAATGTGCTGCCTTGGAAGTATTGAGCTGCCAACCCCTGGAGGGAATGCAAGCTGATGCCATCCTGCTTGTTAGAGACATACAAAAAGGATTCCTGCTCCCAGAGGTGCTGACCTGGAGGTCCTTTCCATATTAGGGCTTTATGATTCTGACTAGGACAGTGGGATGTAGAGGTAAGGAACTAGGATGGGGTTCTAGTCCCAACATTTCTATTCGCTGTGTGACCATAGGCAAGCCTTAGACTCACAGACCTTCTTGGAGCCTCAGTTTCTCTGCTAGAAAGCCACAAGAATGGATGAACCCATGGGTTTCAAACTATGTCCCATGGCTCTCAGGGTTCCCTGGAGCTGCCTCAGAGATGCTGTGGTAGTGACGAGAAGGTGGAGGGAACAGGGCCTCC